TTGGGTTTGGATATCTGCGTTAAACAGCAGCAAAGTGGAACCTGCCAAGAATCTGCTTGAGTGGTTAACGTTTCTTCCGGCATCTTTTAAACGTTTGGAAGCGGTATATCAAAAGCCTAACGGTGATGTTGTCTTCTTTAGTGGCGGTCACATATACATAGTGCAATTCCCTAGTCTGCAACTGCTACCAGGATGGCCTCAGCCTTATAGCCACTTCACAATTCCAAACAGCCATAAAGTGAATGCTGCAGTTAACACCTATACCGGACGCACGCTTATTTATCATGGTGCAAATGAACTGCTAGATTTGGATGATTGTAGTAATCGACCTAAAAATCGCTTAATATATGCGGAAACCTTTCCGGATATTCCTGCTAAGACAACTTCTATATTTAAATACATGGATGGATACCTATACTTTATCACCGGAAATAAATTTCATAAATATAGCGAATATACGGGTCATGTAATTCAATCAGGCGATATTGATCTATCCTTATTCAATATTCATTGTGCTAATAAAGGCGTATTGGAGCAATTATATAATGTATTAGCTAAACTTTTAAAGTTTGATAAACAAATTGAATTGTATATGCGGCATTAGGTGGATAATAAGTTGTTGTGTATCGATACGTATGAATAAATAAAAAGCATTTTTACGCTATAAAATTCTTTATTTTAACAAGCTAATTCTACTAACAACCCTATTTATAAATTTTCTAGGGTGAATGTTTACAATTTCTGTTAGAAGAGTAAAGTCTTGCAAATTATCATACTTTTCCTTCCAACTGCATAGCGATGTTAAGAATTTGAGATTTTGGCATATGATTTTCGCTCTGGATAAAATGCTCTCTTCGCTAGTAACACCTTCGGTATGTAGAATTTTTGCCAACTCACGCGTAAAGTCATCATAAAGACAATACATCGCATAGTGATTGACGACATTCAGTTTTTGAGTAATCACTTCGGAAGCGTTAAATATCATATCGACTGCTTGCTTGGAAAATAGTATAGATTTATCTGATTCGCTTATTCGAATACATCTAACGCCTTCTTCTTCTTCCGCTTCAAGTATTATTATTTTGGACTCGGTAAAAAATTCATGCTTGCTCCTTCTTTTAGGCGTACATTGCACCATATGTTTAATTAAGTGTTCCGTTTTAAAATTGAATATTTCTTTCCATTCGCAACTCTCAAATTGTAAATACTGGTCTTCATAATGCGGAGGACATGATATTTGCACGATGGAATCGAAAAAGTACTCGTCCAGTGTAAAGCCAACTTCGAGAATAATGCCTCCGTCTAAGAATAGCGACCATGCGGATATTAAGGTTTCCTTTCCTATAAACATACATCTTTTGCTTCCACCATAATCGGCGTTATTCAATACATACCTTGCTCCTCCTCTTTCGATGATTCATTCACCGATAATTTATCTACCGAAAGCGATGACTTTGCATCATCATCATCTTCGCTACCCCATGAATCTTGCGATTCTTGTTGTATTTGTGCACTCATCTCGATATAAATCGATTTCTTACATTCTTATTGCTTTTATACCGTCTCTTAAAACTACTTTGGAGGGGATTAAAAGAAATCCATCATGCGCAGTGTATCTTAAAGGTATAGGTATAAAACTGGGAACGAGGTAATGCTAAAAATCATTGCGTTAAATCCTCATATCGAACGCTAATGGATCGAATACTTGCCAACATCGCTCAGCGAGAGGCTCAAAAGGAGTCTAATTATATCGAGACGAAGAGCGAATTGTTAAGTTTAAGTGTAGAGGAATTATTGAAAATATGGATCAAGATCCCCAACGTATTGCAAAGAGACTGTGAATTACGTAATCGAATACGATGTAAGAAACATTGGAACCAGCCGTGGCAGCGCACTCACATCGATGGACCCGCTCCGCTAATGATTTATTGTAATGATTGTATTTCGTCAAAGCATATTCGAAAACCAATGTCATATTAGAATGTAATATTAGAATAATGCGTCTAAAAATAAAGCATAAAGAAGATAAGCTCATTTCCTTTCTAGTTAGCAATATGAAAAATTATTTTTCGCACACGATTTAAGCGTCTTATCATAGCTGCTATAAATAAACATTATTGCGAGATTGCAGCTTCCTGCACCTCTACAGCAATTCACCATGACCTCGTTATAGGTTAATACGTCTATAATAATCTTGCGCGCTTTCTCAATATAGAAATGTAAAGCGAGATTGCAGTTTCCTCTTTCAATTACGCGCTTTTTCTAAAAACATAATAGGGGTAGCTCCCACTCCTACGAAATAGCTTATACGGCCTAGGGGTATCTACCGCTCCTACTGCTACCCTCTACGCCCCTGCAATCGCGCCCCCCTCATTCTAACAATACTTGAACTGCTAAACGTTCATATCTCAAAGCCTCGCCTAGCTCAGATGGTTAAGGCGGCAGATTCGTAATTCACGTATCGACGGTTCAAATCCTCGACGCAGCCTTTTTTTCAGACAAATATTTCACAAGCTATGACGCGTTTCCTGGTCCAGAAACACCGGAAGCAAAACACACAAAATGTGACGTCACAAAATGGCCGACTCACGCGCTCCCATTGGCTCACACCGCACCACGTGACCACAATACTCGATTCTCATTGGCGTGACGTCACTTCCTGGTCTAGAAGTCCCTTTGCTCATCTACTACAGTGTTACATTAACTTCAGGAACAGTGTTACAAGTGCATTGAGCACTAAGTAAAACGCCCATATGTCTATGATTTTATTGATTCAAAAGGTATAACATACATTACTTTAAAGAGTTAATGCCCTCAACATACTTATTAAGATTACAGGGAAATGTAAAACTTTCCGTCCCACGACTTGTAAGTGCAGTTGGTTCAGGTAGTGGGAGCTTCCTGCAAATCTGCTTTTTGTTAAAGATATAATGTTCCTTAGTTCCAGCAAACTTGAACGCCAGAAGGCGCTTAAAGTACGCAACGTCTACTTCTTCATCTTCTTCAGATAAAATTTCCCCGATTGAATATAAAATTCTACCTTTCACACACCCTTCTCTTACAACAACAAAGTCTCCTCTACTGCTACTTTACAGTATAGGTTCTTATTCTTCTACGGACTCTGAACTAAAACTTACGTACTAACACGAGTTTGCAAATTAATGAAAACCACAGTGATCACGTGTTTTGCCTGTTTGTATTAGTTGTTGACTTCACCTTAGAGTTCGCCCCGCCGCAAACTAGGCACAATTAACTAGCACCCCCGATTCTTTTACACGGCGCTGGATTTAATTACTAACGCGAATGAACTTGCCCCAACGAGCAAATTCCTCTTCTACCTTTCTCAAGATAAACTCAGGCCGCGACACCACCAGAAGATCTCTCTTCCGCGTGCCGAAACTCTTTCACCGCCGCCGCGATTCTCTTTTCTTTTCATTTCCACTTATCACCCTACGATATTGTACCCCTCAACCCAAATGTTTCAACGTATACAAAATGTCCAATGAGATGACAATTTTGCTAGCGGAACCAGCCCCGATTGGTTAATTTCAAATTGGTTAATTTCAAATTGGTCTGCGACCGTTAATACCAACCATCACACATTGCTCTCCACCTGCTTCTAATGATTCGTCCCTAATTCAAAATTTATTAGAGGCTTACCATGTCAGGGGTTACTCTTTAGCGGCATCTAAGCTATCGCCATATTTTAGTGACTAAAACCCACACTGACAGACTGCCATTAGCTGCATTAGTTATGCCGGAATTTTACCCCAGAAACCGTTTCAGTTTCAGATCGGTGTGTGTGTGTAGACATATCGGATTACGTGTGAGAGTTAAAAAAAAATCACGACCCACCCTTCAAGGCGACCGCTACCACCTGCAACCTCGTGGGAAGAAATGACCACCCAACATTAAGTTGCCGAAACTGTATTTACATATAAAAAATCCTACCGATCTACGCCTAAATTATGCTTAATAAATTTACCTATCTATTCTAACCCATTTCGACCCACTGTACCCATTTGGGTACACACCACACCATTGCGCTATCTATAAGATAAACTCCGTACATTATTACATTTACTTGAATTACAGACTTCTATTATACTAATGAAATTTTGAATTGGATCGGTTTCTGCTTTATTTTTCAGTTCGCCTTCTCCAATCGTTCTTGTTGCGTGCATGCCGTATTAGTGAAAATTAGAATTGCAATAACTCTCACTGTGCATATATGTACCTGTACTCTATAGCGTGCAATAAAGGGGATATGACCTTGGCAGTCGAACCCTATATTTAAAAAAAAAAAAACTCTAGATATAAACATTGTTTTTCTATTTCGGTGTCACAATGATGATTTTGTCCGAAAACAGTTGTACAAAGACAGTGATTATAGACATTATAGTCGTTTTTTTTTTGGTAACTCATCTCCTAAGTTGGCAGTTACTAGTTAGTACAAGTAGGTACTTCGTTGGGTACTTCCATGTTTCAACTTCAAAATGTCAGTCTTACTACGCTGCCAACCTAAAACTTAACGGCATAAAAAGTGTTCCCAACATAAAACATGTTAGTTCTAATGATCCCTATAGTTTCTGATAATGATTTTTGCACCGAAATAGAAAAAAGTAGTATGAAAAACGCGTGTTACAATGCTTTATTGTAATACTCCTATCTTGCGGACACTCGTGGCTACGCTTCGCGTCGCCACTCGTGCCACAAGATAGTCGTATTACAATAGGTCGCATTGTAACACTTGTCTTTCAATATACTATTCTGACTACAGTTTTGTTTTATGTTATAAGGTAAGCTTTCGTGATCATTATACCATAAAGCTTGAAATGTTGCTGTTTTGTAAAATTTCATATTGTTATGTTTATCTGGATGTACTCGTTTGGGTACAATGGGCATGACGCAAGTCTATTGAAATTTTTGTACATTTGATATTGTTTATTATAAATTTTTCCCTACGCTGCTAATTTCCAGTGTTTTCCACTATTTTCAGAATGGACTCGGATGCTATTAACACTATTACATTTTATGGGAGGAGGTATGACCGATTAGACGCTGCAATTGAAGATATTGTAAATAGAAATGATTCTTACAACCCAGATATTGTGTTACTCCCTCCGGCGGTTGATTATGTCACGGACGAAGAGGATATAGATGAAGGCGTAATCCAAACAAATGAGCTACCTACTGATGTACCGGGCGAAATTGAGGTTCAATTTTACGAGGACGAAGTTTCTGAAGATGACCTACCCTTATCAAGATTGCAAGATATACTTTTGTCTAATACATCTTCAAGTAGGACAACTTCTAACCCGAAATGGACCAATGACGTACTTGATATAAGTATGAAAGCATCAACAGAATGGAAACTACGAGAGGAGGTTGTAAAGAATGGTGTGGCTGGCCTGAATCCAATCCAAATATTTGAAAAATTCATTGATGCTGACGTTATAAATCACATTGAACAAACAATGTTATATTCTCATCAAAAGAATAATCACAACTTTCAAGTTAGCAGTAATGATTTAAAGACATTCATAGGTATTCTTTTGTTCAGTGGATATCACCAACTTCCCCGAGAACGTCTTTATTGGAGTGTCGATGAAGACGTTCATACGCCGATAGTTTCCAATGCGATGTCTCGCAATAGATATATGGATATAAAGAGATGTTTACACTGAGCAGACAATTCTGCCATTGATAAGAATGATAAACTTTTTAAATTGCGGCCTCTAATGAATAAACTAAATCAAAACTTTATGCAATGGGGTATTTTTCATGATACTCTTTCCATTGATGAAGCCATGATCAAGTATTATGGTCATCATTCCGCAAAACAGTTCATTAGAGGAAAGCCGATTAGATTCGGATATAAGGATTGGATGGTATGCAGTTCTAATGGATATTGCTATCATTTCAACACCTACTGCGGAGCTGAGGCCACAAAAAATCCACCGATAAACAAAGTGCCTCTAGGATCGAAAGTTGTGTTAGACCTTCTGCAAATTGTTACAGTACCATCTGACCACACTGTCTTTTTTGACAATTATTTTACGAGTTATGATCTACTGAGAACCCTGAAAGAACGTGGTATTAGAGCGTCTGGAACTCTTCGTAGTAACCGTTTGAAAGGCTGTCCATTTCCAGACCAAAAAGAGTGGAAAAAAGGATAAGGGATATTTTTGCAAAAAGTATGATGAAGAAAACAAACTGCTATTTGTTCAATGGAAGGACAACAACATCGTAAGCATGGGTACTAAGTACGATGCTGTTGAACCTCTTGCTAAAGTTAAACGTTGGAGCAAAGAAAAAAAAGAAAAAATCGATGTATCACAACCTGTTAGAGAATTAGCTACAGGTAATTTACAACTACAATAAGGGCATGGGCGGCGTAGATCAGTTGGATCAAGCGGTTAACAACTACAGGATCAGTATCCAAGGTAAGAAATGGTGGTGGTCGCTATTTACCCACATGCTAAATGTGACGGTTGTAAACGCATGGAAATTACACGTATTTACTAATGGGAAGTCGGAACTGCTTCCATTTGTTAGAGAATTAGCTACATATTATCTAAAAAGCAGTGAAAAGGCTATATACAGTCGTAAAAGGCCGGGAAGCGTTCCATCCAGCGTTTCAGAGTGAGGGTGGACATTTTCCTAGAAAAATGGAGTCACAGATAAGATGTCGGGAAATATATTTTAATTACTCACCTAATACCTAATAATCTAAATAATAATTGTAATTTTTAGCCACACTATCTGATATAAATTGTTTTAAAATTCGATTAGTCTTGGTCACCCCATCTTTTCCTCCAATGGATCCAAAGTAACTCACATACAGAATTGTTTGAAAAAATTTGCAGTCCCATCTACTAACTTACCTCCCATTGCATTAGCATTTTGTTCTTTCTCTAAATATATTTCTAAAGCATTTAAATCTTCAACTGTGCTAATAGGTAGATTAACAGGAAGATTCTTGGGAACCGTTGATTGTTTTTGTTCCAATATTGCTATTATTCGATTATTTTGTTCCTTTACCTCCAATATTTTTGATAATAAAGTTTCATATTCTATAAAAGTGAAATTGTAATTGATCACTTTAGAAATAGAAATAAATACATACCAGTTCTAGTTATTACAGTATTGTGATTGCCATCGTATCGGTAATCAGTTGTGACAGGTAGCTGGCACAGTTGCAGGGAAAGCACACGCATCACCTACAATATGAATATCTGCAATCGGCATGTACATGTGAAATATACTGCAAGCTTATACCTGAGGTTGCTGCGCCATGCACTCTTGATATTTGGGATGGTACATTACGTTCTGCAGTCCCTTTTATGTTCCTGCGATATGATCTAGGTGTCGTTGGGTAGTGAATCTGTAAAAATGAGGTCTAGTAGCTAAGTAGTTGCAACTACTTTTAGGTCAATTTTATATAAGTACCTACCTGACAATAATTGATGGTTCTCATCGTCATTTTCATTAACAGATTCCACTTGTGATTGCAACTCGTTAAGGCATTGAACTAAAATGAAAAAAAAATTGTGGAGGTATGCCCTACTAGTCCGGGAGCCAATGACATGATTTGGTGACCAATTTCCTCCCGGCTGATAATTTGGCACACAATTAAGATGGCTGTGTTATTACGTGTTTCGACCGTCAACTACGGCATCTCTGCTGGGTGGGCCAATCATTTTCAGTTATTCCCTCTTGCTTGAAAATTTGTCAGATGATAGTTGACCTATTACTTTGAATAAAAAAAACGTCAGCCGGATGTACGTTGCTGGAAAATCCGTCAGCTGCTCGTATGAACGTGCAGGAAAAAAATTAGTGAATTTGTTACAAGATATTTAGTGTGCTACTTTGAATTAAAAAAAACGTCAGCTGGGTGTACATTGCTGGAAAATCCGTCAGCTGCCGTAGTGAAATGTGAGATGCGAAAACCGATCGCCTATTTAAACATATCAGCTGATGGATTTTCCAGCAAATGACATCCAGCTGATGTGTTTTTTTAGTTTTAGTAGTGTTCACTATTATCTGACAATTTTTTAACCGAGAGGAAATAATGTACGCATAGTTATTTAACATAACGCTCATTGCATGCGCGACAATGTATCAATTATTGTCTATTCAAAATATGTATAAAGAAAATAAACATTAAAAAAAAATAGTTAATCGTTCTCATCTTCACTTTCATCGTGGCACTCTCATTTTTTGATTCGCTGTCTTCGCTATCAGAACTGTCTGCTACCATGTTTCCATCCTTATCATCATCGTTAGTATCTATCCAAAGATAAAAGAAAAATTAGATCTATATATACAATCTATTATAAACAATATATGAATAACATTAGATAAAAATATGTATACCAATAAAACGCCTCATTTATACACTCATTGCATAAATAACTATTGTACCGATAGTTGATAAAATCTCCACGGCGCCAGTGGCGCCTACGTCACAATGAACTTCGTCTATTCCAAATGCTTGAACGGAAAATGATTCCTTTTCCCAAGAAGGGAACAGCTAATCCCCAAACTGTTAGTTCAACATTAATTGCCTCTAATGAACACGAAAGTGTGGAATTTGCCACGTTACTAATTGAAGCACATTCCGAGACGCATTCATCGGTAGTTTCTCGTAAAAGAACATTTTCAGTTACGATGAGATGATTGCTTTTATTCTCGCCTTTATTAGAAATATCAGGTTCCGAAGATGACAAGTTGCCAATTTCTAAATCAATGATTCGCATTTTTGGCGGTATGATAGGTCACAGAAGTTTTTATGCTTACGGTCAGGACATAAGTAATGCGTAAACTTGTAATTTACTTACTTAAAAGTCTCTACCCACTACAACGTATCATACCGTAGGCGCAGAAATAATGAACATACGGAAGTACATATGACATTTTTTTTCGTCATGGTCTAGGTGTAAATAATGCCCAGTATTCTCCCTCGACTTCTCGTTTCGCACCCTCTTCCTGACGCGTTTGTTTACAAGTACAACCGAGCCAACGGGAACCAGTTGGAATATAAATTTATACTTACACAACAAACACTGAACCAAAACAACACCGACTTATTCTAATATAGCGTCAAAAAGAACTTTATCTTTCGCTCGACTGTTGAGGTTATGTGTACCGCGGTCGTTAACCTTTACTTTTCACTAGAGGTATATCGATACCATACCGGCAGAACATCGTAAGCGACAAATTTCGTGAAATTGAGTTTTTGTGTTACTGGAACTATCGTATGTGCTAGATACTAATGGCAAAGTATCTTATGTGCATATAAAAGCTTTAATAAACAAAAAACGCAAGATTTCTTTGTCGTAAACGACATTTATTTGTGATTAAAATTGTTTATTATAACCTTCGAAAATATTGTATGTCTACCACGAACCGACAGAACATCGTAATGTCAGATCACGTGGTGCAGTTATTTGTCACTGGTGTTCGTTTCGTGTTCATTTGTTAATTTTGCTTTCTAAGTGTAACAATTTGTTTTATTTATACTTATTTTGATGAGCAATTATCTAAATTAAGCTGGTACTGTACTGTACTGCTTGTACAGCACTGTAAATACGTCTATTAAACGGACTATCCACATAACCTAGAAGTACAATACCATGCCTGAAATCTATTGTTAAGTATCGGTAATTAAGCAATCCAACTGGGTCTACTAAAAATTGCAAAAAAACGTTCAAACAAATTTGTTAATAGTGGGATTCCGCTCAAAGTGAGACATCTTAAATGTTTCAGATAAATGATTCATAATGGGAAGCCGAGCGGAAAAAATATTAAATCTTGTAAAACAGGGAATGAATGCTACTGTTGATACTCAAGTTACTCAAAATACAAAGATACAACAACCAAAGTCGCAATTGCAAGTTGGCGATATTATTGATATTGGAGTTTGCAACAACGTGATAGACATCAATGTCGAGATTGATCCAAGTATTATTATTGAAGTTAATCCCGATCTTGCAACACCCAATGAATTTAATCAAGATCTGAATTACGTATCAGAACACCAAGGAATTTTTGAGGAACAAGGCATCGTGATTGACTGACCAACGGATCAACTGGTGAAAAAACTCGTAGATTACGACTCAAGTTCATCAAATAACAGCTTTGCCGTTCCTACTCAACCTGATAAACACAAACCCAAAAGTCACCAAACAAAATTTCGACGCCATTCTTCAGAAATGTCTTACAATGAAGAGAAGAAAAACATATCTAGCGACAGTGAAAAGTATCTGAGTGACTTAGAACAGCAGGTGGTGGGTAAACCAGTTAAGAAGAAGTCAAGGTTACGGAAGCGAAAATTACAGATGCTTGAAAAAAATTTTGGAAAAGGGAAAGCATTAAAGCCCAACCCTTGCACAGAGCACTGTCCCAATCAATGCTCATTAAAATTTCCCGAGGTTGTACGACAAGATGTTCATGAATTTTATTGGGGGCTAGGGAATTCACAAAGACAAAGAGACTGGTTGTTATCCTGCATGCAAGAGGTTGGCATAAAAAGAAGAAGGCAAGAAGCTGAGTCAAGTAGAAGGCACAAAACGTTTAAATATGTTATTCCTTGGAACGATGTGCAACATAATGTGTGCCAAAAATTTTTATTAAATACATTGGATATTTCTCAGATGACTCTCAGATATACCAAAGATAATGCGATATCTTGCCGAATTTCCAAAACTGATCAAAGAGGACGGCATGAACCAGCCAATAAAACTAGTTTAGAATTACGGCAAAATGCAGTCAACTTCATAATGCCGTTACCGGCAGTTCCTTCTCATTACTGTAGGACAAAGACTTCCAGGAAGTATTTACCGAGCGAGTTTCGAAATAACTCTTTTTTGTATAGAATTTTTGTCAAAGATCAAATCTGTAACGGAAAAAGCACCCAAGTAAGTTGTAAAGTTTTTAAATCGATTTTAAAAACGGAATTTAATATTGGATTCCACTTACCCAAAAAGGATAAATGTGTGGTCTGTGAACCAAGAAAAGACAAAGACTTCGAGGATACAGAAAATTCAGCCCAAGCCTACAAAGAGCACATTCGCTTGAAAGATATTTGCAAAGAAGAGTTTTTGAAAAACCAAAAGAAAGGTCTAGAAGAAAATAAATTCCTTTGTGTTAGTTTCGACCTTCAAAAAGTGCTTAGTACGCCACATGGAGATAATCTACTTCTTTATTGTGCAAGAAAGTACTCGTTTTACAACTTAACGGTATATGAAAGTGTCACACAGAATGCCCTATGCTATTTGTGGGGCGAATGCGATGCCAATCGAGGCTCAAACGAAATTTGTACTACACTTTACAAATACTTGAGTGGGGTTGATAAAAATGGAGTTACAGAATACGTTCCT